GTTTTTGTAGCTCAAGAATAAGCACGTGAAAACAGGCTTTAGGGAGTCCACTTCCCTTGGGATGTTGTTCGCTATGCCAATCAAAACAATACTAACTACTTTATATTAAGTAAACAGAGTTAAGCAATCATTCAGAAATTTACTGGTTATCAGACGACACACCAAGAACAAGAGGTCCTTTTCTTTACCAAAGTAAGTAAAAGAACTTGTTCTCTTTGGTAATAATTTTTTGGTTTTTCGTTTGACCGGAATAAATGTTTGGTAACTCTTTTTAAATGTTAATGGCTTGAAAAAGTTGTACATTTTTYGTGTATGGGGAATTGATAATTTTACGTAACTTTCCTTGCTGGTGTTGCCCGTGCTACAAGAAGACAGGGCCGCGTTGTACGAAGGATAAAATTGACTGATCAATTCATGTTGTTATAAAAACAGTTTATTGTAGCTTCATATGTTGCTTAATTCGTTATGTTATATAATCAATGCTTATTTTCTTTCAGGCGTGATAATAAAATGAACTTCAAAATGATATTCTTGGCCTCGTTTTGTTTCGCTCTACTCCTAATCTGTACGAAAGCACATTTTGAAGTGCATGTACCCCAAGGAAAGCGCCATCTACAAAATAGAGACCTGCCTAGTATCTGGGGAGATGATGAACCGTTCCCATCTTCAAAGAAGTTTCATTCAAAAGTGCAACGATCACCTCAGAAACAACAGAAAGAAGAAAATTCATTATTATGGCAGGAATAATCCTAGGAAGGTATGTACAATTTTCAACTAAATAGACAATTTTATCTTAGGTAGTGAAAAATGAACCTAGAAAATGAACTTAGGAGCATGCTGCTTGAAAATTAAACTTTCTGAATTATTTCCTTTCTTTCCTTTTTTCCCCTCTATCAGTTTATTTTCATTTAAAAAACTGTCAGTTCCTTTTCCTTTTCCTTCCTTTCCTTTCCTTTCCTTTCCTTTTTCCTTCCCTTCTATTCCTTTCCTTTCTTTTGTTTGTAATCTCTCTTTTTTTCTTCTCCGTCACCTTCATCCACTTCCATCCTTTCCTTTCCTTTTCATTCTCTTTTTCATTCTTTTCCTATTCTTTCTTTCTATTCCCTTCACGTTATAAATAAGAGTGTTGGACTATTCAAACCAGTTTATTAAATACAATTACAGTTATTCATATGACAACTAGCGCTAAAACAACTTCAATTCAAGGTTTACTCACTTGACTAACTTTGCACTTGTTTCAAAACAATTACTTTATTTTTCATTTTGTTTTTAACTGTTTTTCTTTCAGGAATTTGGAAAATTGCCATTCATCGTCAACAATAATGTACGAAATGAAATAACTGCTGCTTTAGAATGAAGTGCTATAAGACCTATAACTTAGAAAGTTAAGAAGTGGGTTTCCACCCTTGTAAACATTGTTACGTTTGCAATAAAGTTACATGTTCATCGCATCTGTTTGAGTATTCCTTTACTTACTGAAGAATATTCATTTATCGACGTTATCTACCACCCAACTGGATTTTGTTTTCCTTCTATATTTTTGCTAATTCTGACGTTGTGTTTGCTTGTCAACTTACATTCGCATTTGTATAATATCTCATAAATAAGCAATTATGCTCTTCTCTATTGTACTTGTAAAACTGGCACATTAAGAATTTTAAATTAGCAATGTTCAAAATGTTCGGGGAATTACGCCAAAATTAGCCGGCATTCGTAGTCCTTTTGAATTATGCTCCGCTATTTATTTCATCATGCCACCGCCCTTCTAAGGAATTAATCCAAAAGAGTCTCTGAAAGTGAAGTTTTTCCCTTTCCGAAAGAAAGAACTCATTGCATTAAAACAAATTGCATTAAAAATAGGAGCTATAGCTGAGTGACTCTATTTATTTCATCATGCTCCCAACGTACCTTTGTAAGCAATTGATCCAGAAAAGAGTCTCTGAAAGCGAAATTTGTTTTTTTGTTTTTTTGTTTTTTCAAACAAATTGCATTAAAAATGAGAGCTGAGTGACTCTATTTATTTCATCATGCTAACACGTCACCTTTCTAATGAATTGATCCAAAAAAGAGTCTCTGAAAGTGGAGTTTTACCTTTTACCTTTCCGAAAGGGAAAAACTTACTTTTTTTCAAAACAAATTGCATTAAAAATGAGAGGTAAGTGACTCTATTTATTTCAKCATGCTCCCAACGTACCTTTCTAAGCAATTAATCMAAAAAAGTCTCTGAAAGTGAGGTTTTTACCTTTCCGAGAGCCCGAGAGTCCGCGGTCAATGTGTTTTGGAAAAGTTAATCAAGTCCTTTCTAGAGTCTTCCAACTTTAATGTGGGACTATCTTTGGTCAGTCCGGTAGCCCTTTTCTGGAGACAATGATGACTTTTCGATGAACTGAAGAATCAGCAGAAGTCGTTGCTGTTTCGAAATATGATAATTATGGTTCATTTATTTACTTAGCGCTATTTCAAGAAAAAGAAAAAAGAAAAAAGAAAAAGAAAAAAAAAGGAAAAGAAACCTTGCCCAATAGCGCTATCGAAAGCCTTCTTGATATGGATGATGGGAGGTGAACCGGCTTCGCCCTAAGCCTCTTCCACAAATAAAGCACCAACGCTATCTTACGAATTATGCTAGCACTGCTAATTCGATAAAATCGTTAAAAATTGTGCTCATTTAGTCAAATTATACATGTCTAAAATTATCTATACCAGCACGATCTGAAAAAAGACTATTAGCAATGCTAGTTCAAGGTGTTCGAGTGGTTTTTTAATCAACTTAATGCATTGTAGTCGAGACACAAATTCCATTGTTGTTTTGTTTTATTTTTGTCTTCTTCTTCTTCTTCTTCTTCTTTTTTTTTTTTTTTTTCTTTTTTTTTTCTTTTCTTTTCTTTCTTTCTTTTCTTTCTTTCCTTTTCACTTTAACTGTTAGTCACTAAATATCACAACTTTGTTTCACGGACGAATTTCTTAATTATAGAACGTTTTATGTAACCGTCACTCGATTCTTTATTCTAAATGTTTTGCTGCGTGGAAGTGTCACCCGACCATCCTATCCCAAAAAGATTCATCCTAACAACCTCAGGTTATAAATTTATCTGCCCTTGCTAATTCTGGTAAGGTGGGAGCCACAAAAAACGACGGCATATAAAACAAATAACATTATTTTAGCCATAATTGGGCTTCAAACCTACCTTTAAGTACATACTTACGAGGGACCAAAATACTAATTAAAGCTTTCACTTGACGTCATTTCCTGTGTATCATGCGCAGAACTAGTGTACTTCAGCTAAAACGCAAGATTTCAATAAAATACTTTCTGGTTAACAGCACATTGTTGCCAATGTTTTGACCACTATTTTCCTTTGCCCTTGGGGTATTTTTCTCAATTCCACTCAAAACAATACTAACTACAGTCTATATTAAGTAAACAGATTCTTAAGCATTCATTCAGATATTTACAGCGTTTCACACACACCAAGACCAAGGTACCTTCTATTCCTTTAGCAAGGTAAGTAACATAACTCATTCTCCTCAAATTTGCTTCATACTGGATTAGAGTATAAATCTGAACCTTTTTCCTAAAAGCCTACAAACTATGACGCTTCAGTATTGATAAAAATATATGTGCTGATTTAAGTTATACTTAGATTGATCCACTGGTAGTTTGATCTTATGTAGATTTGGAATCTTTTTGAACATAGTACTCCAAGACATCTACCTTATTTTCAAAGTTAACTCTTTGCTCCTTCAAAAATTATTGATCGAGAAAATATAAGTTTAGACTTTGCCAGGAAAAAAAAGAAAAAGAAAAAGAAAAAGAAAAAAAGAAAAAAAAAAAAGAAAAAGAAAAAAAGAAAAAAAAAGGAAAAAAGGAAACCCAGAAATGTCTTACCATCAAATAATATTTTCAAAAAAGAAATATTTTGAGCAATGACTTTAAAAATTTATTAAAGTTTACATATAGCCCGCTTGGGCATGTAATTTGAACAGTCTTGGTGTTGCCACCATGATTTCTCTTTCGCCATTTTCAGTAGCGGAAATCAATTAGCGTTGAGGCTTGTATCTCTTCGAAAGTTCTTTGAAGTATTCATGAACTTGATCTTAAAATTAAAGGCCTTGGAACTTTAGTTTGTAATTTTTTTTCTTCACCTTATGTCACAAAATATTAATGTATGATTTTTTTTTCTCTAGAAGCCATGAGTAAAATGAACTCCAAACTGATGTTTTTCGCCTTGTTTTGTTTCGCTCTACTCCTAATATGTACGAAAGCACATTTCGTTCTTACATCTCCTAAAGGAAAGCGCCATCTAGAAGAGAAACAACGAGATGTGCCTAGTATCTGGGAAGAAGGCGAATTGTTTCCATCTTCAAAGAATTATCCTCCAAAAACGCAACAACAACAGGAAGAAAAATTATTTTGGTGGGAAAAATAACGTTAAAACCGGCAGGTAGAATGTGCAAATGAATAGTGATTTTTTATTTTACGTCTAAGCAACAATAAGGAGCACACTGATTGAAAATTTTGGAAACTAGAATTCCATCGTATATACAACTTTGGCCCTTTGTTTTTACGGTTTTGTTTCGTTTCTTTTCCATTTCCTCCCATGCTTTCTTTTCATTTCTTTAAGTTCCTTCTTTAGCTCTCTGTTTTAATTCCTTTCCTTTTCCCCTTCACTCAATTCCGTTCCTTTTTCCTTTTCTTTTTTTTTAAATTCCTTTTCTCCTAATTCCAATTCTTTTCTTTCTTTTCTTTCTTTTCTTTCCTTAATTAATGATAAAATAAGTACAAAAGTGAGGGACTATTTTAACTTGTTTACAAATGCAATCTTTCTTTTTCTTTCAGGGATTTCGATATTGTCGTCCTTCATCGACATGGAATAAAGTTAAATAATTAAACCATCGGTACAACAAAGTACAGAAAGATTTCTTTACTGCTTTGAAATTTTATTAACTGAAAAAGCCTGGAGTTATATTTGGTTTCCACTCTTGTAAACAGTTGTTTGCAATAAAGTTATATTTTCATTGCATCTGTTTGACTATTTCTTTACTTACTCAAACTCATTAGTTTATTCATCTACCACTTGTAGATATTTTCGTTTCTTTTTCGTTAATTCCACATGCTTTTTTTGTCAATTTACCTTTTTCATTTACAGTAAACGAAATTCCTTTAAAAAAATTATAATATCGACGCTTAGCCGCCAGATTAGGATATTAACCTCGTGTGAATCAAATAATATGATTGGATAGCGTTCATTTTCTCGCTTACTGATTGGCTCAAAAAAAAGAAGTCATTCATATTTATAACTACACCTACTTGCAATACGAAAATAGAACATTAGTGATTTAGTGGATAAGAATTATATTAAAAAACAAAAGAAGATCACTGAAGCTAAACTTTTTCTTTTGTCTTTTAATGAATTCCTTTCCCACTAAATTACGAATGTTCTATTCTTGTATGACAACCTTCTGGCAAGTAGGTGTATATATGTTATAAAACCATCACTCTCGAATCACTTCTCATACGATGCTCTTCCGGCACTACAATTACATTCATTGTTTACGGCATAAAACACTCAAATCACATGTTGWTTTTTACGGAGGTAGAAACCGGAAACCAAGAGAGAACAACCCTCGTGGCATGGGAGAAAACAACAACTCATGCGGTTTAGTCGTGAATCGAGCCCGCGATCCCGGGCTTGAAATGCACAGCGTCGGCGGGTAGTAACTTACAGTGCATGCCATGCACCAATAGACGATTTCCGAGATGCGCGAGCGYTTTCATAAATATCGCAGGCGCAGACATGAAAGCGAGGCATTTTAAGGCAGTGATTCTTTGGAAACCATAGAGGTATAGGCGATTTCTACAAATCTTGAAGAAAAGATTTTGTATGATGTGAGCATACCTTTTCAAAAAGTCATAAAAGTCATACTTTCAAACTAAAAAAAAAACTTTTCTTGAAGTATTCCTTCATTAACAGAATCTCAAAGTAAGATATGTTTGTGTTTTCCATTAGCGCGCATAATAAGATCCTGCCCGAAAATGCCTTGTTTTCGAAAACTGCAAGCGCGCGACACTCTTGACAGCGCGCGTCATGTAAGAAAAGATCTATTACGGCCATCTGGGGAGACGTTAACCTATCCTTTTGGGCCCGGTTGTACGAAGCCTGGATAGCGCTATCTGACGGATAAATCTTATCCACTGGATAAGGATTTGTCCGCCGGATAGCGCTATCCAGGTTTCGTACAACCGAGCCCTGTAAGTTAAAACGAATCCTTTTCGTCTACTGGTTTGAATTAAAGTCAGCCACACCGACAACCGTGAATAAAGTTTGTTTACATTGTTACACTGTTTGGAAGTATTGAACAATAAAATAATGTCAATAAAATCTATTTATATAGTGCAAAATTGGCATTTATCCGAGTATGACACGTACAGCCCTACTCGTGCACTCTGATAAAACTTTTGCTTTTTACACGGTGTTTGAATTAAAATCATTATTATTTTATTCACATGAAGTCTAAATTGAGGTTATTTATTATTATTCTAACTTGATGAAACTAGGACCATACCTCCAGACGTAGTGCTGAAGCGCAGTATGGCAGCGCGAATCATTTACGGCTATGCCGGAGATTTCGGCCCCGACACCGCTATCCATAATAATGACTGATCAGGGAGCTCGGCCGAAGCCTAAGGGAGAGGTTAGTCGGCCCCTAAGCCGTAGATGATTAACCCCTTRCTATGACCAAAAATTTTGAAATTGTTTTTCTGGTCACTAAGTTCATATAGTCAAGTTGGTCCATGTGGGAGCTGAAACATTTTGAAGATTCACCATAAAAAGAAGTGACACATGCGCAAACCATGAGCATTTGCACGAACGTTTTACTTGAAAAACGTTATTACTGAAAATACATTAGAGAGCCACGAAAATTGCAGTAAGTGTTTTCTGCTATTTAATTGGGACTTTTTCGCATATCAAAAACTAAATCCCGGTTTAAATCCCGTTCAATTTGTAGCTGCATAAGTTGCCTCATATACTGCGAGGATCAGCTCAATTTGATATATCAAAAACTCATTAACACTCAGCAAATTTAATTCAATATAAAGCTATTTAAGCCATTTCGAGAAGAGGAACAAGTTTCGTCGAATTTGAATTGCAGTGCATTTTGGGGCGGTTTTAGAAATATGTCCGGTCACTAAGACAGTCCCACGATGCACTGCAATGCCAATTTTACTGCATATTTTTTTCCCTCGAACTCAAAATGGCTACACTACAAAAGAGAGTTAAGCTGCAAAAAATATTACTAGACTAAATGAAATGCTAACAAGTTTTGACACGGGAAAACGTGTCAAATGTGCTGGGCACATTGGATACTTTGAATAGAGTAGACTAAGACTATTTGGGATTTAGTCATTGTAAGACAGAAGAAAGTCCGTGGATTCGGTTTGACTGAAATAGAATATTTTGTAATGCTGATAGAAGAGATACGTTTTTCGTCGAGGCAAGATTTTTTTACGGATAAATTGAACCAGCATAAACAAGTCTTGGCCTCAAACCCTAAAGCAAGCCTCCGTCTCTATGAGAACCAGTGTTATGGTGACTACATCGGCTCAAGAATCGGGTAACCTCAGAATGGAAATATTGCGAAAAACGTATCTCTTTCCCTACGCTTCTTAGTAAATTTGCCCCCCAGACAATATGGCGTCGGAAACCGTGAAAGGATCTATAAATATACTAATATAAAACTCGTGTGAGTACTCTTTTATGTAAATTATGACGCAGTAAATTCCTCGTCCACCCACTCATTGAAGGTTTTGGTATGAAAACCCCTTTTTTCATGAAAATATTCGACTAAAAATAGACACGTTTAGCAGCAGTAAGGGGGACTCGCGGAGCGCCGGCATTTGAAAAAATGACATATCGAAAAACCCCAGCCYCCCCTGGGGTTTCGGAGGTAGGTTAAAGGCCCTGCAGGGGGTCTTGCGCGATCCGAGGGCAGCGCGATAAGTCCCTTACTGCTGCTAGTTGTCGGAACGATGGGTACCGCAAACGGAGGTTAAAATATCCTTTATATATAGATGGATACCATCAAAAGCATTAGAAATAAAACTGTGCGCAAGCTCAGAACTCAGGTGCTGGACCGCTTAGACGCCGACTTTGCCTTCACGACATTTATGGAGGGAGATACAGACGAGACGATGGACGAGGAAA